TACATTCACCTTGAATTGTTGTTCCTGACGGTTTTTGCATTCCCAAATGCTTCTAAAACAGGATTGGACTGCACACAAAGAAGACATAAACCATTCACAAAATGCTTCTATCATTGACATTCCACAAGGTCTATAATAAATTCTTTGGCAGTAAATCACCTCCAAAACTTGATTTTCGACAGTCCTTTTATCAGAAACAGCTCGACCTCCCATTTTCGCCAGATATTTCATAAGCAATTTAGTACTCTCAGTCTTCCCTGCTCCACTTTCACCACTTACCAAGACTGATTGACTAATTCCCTCATTAATCATTTGTCTACACCCAATAGAAAACAAGAAAAACAAACGTCAAGCAAGCAGGACACAACCAGTGATGAATGGAACCACGGGAAAACCAAAAAAAAACTTCAAAGTTAAATGGCAGGCACCTGTAAGCTGCATCCGCAATTGCAAACGGATGTGGTTGCATATCTCCTAAGGCCATTCCTTTATATTGTGCAATCATTTGGTCATTGTAAAGATGCTCTAGTTGTTTAAAGGGATTCACCGCAATCAAAATATTTCCTGTGTAAGTCTACAAAGAAAACAAAAACACATTGTTAGTCCAAATGTCTTACAGACCAATACAAAAAAAAGGGAACTAGCAGAAGGAGACTCACATATATTTCATCGATATAATATCTCGATTTCATATTTTGCAAGACTCCTGGTTCATGTAAATACGCTAAAGTTGTCATATCAGTCACTCCAGAAGGTGGAACTTCCATATCTTTCGGATGTGTATTCGAAACTTTGACATCAACCTAACAATCCATATCAAGAACAAACATATACAGATTCCATCTTTTAACATAATCAAAATGTATTCTAAACTCGGTTATGCATTACCGTCTTCCCTGAGGTACATTGGACCTTAATCTCTTCTCCTTTAACTTCAATCACTTCACCATCTATCCATGCCTCCTCCGGATCTTCCACCCATACAAACGAACCAACAACTGTAGAACAATCCTGGAGAAACCAAAGATCCAATATTTAAATACATATCTACAATAACACAAACAGGATTCAATTGTCCAAGAACTAGACCCCACTAAAGTTTTGCTTTATGACTAAAATGAATTTATTGAGCATAGTTATATGAAAGCCCAGAAGAATTTTAAAAAAAAAATCGAAACTTTTTGACATTTGACGTTTGAAAAGGAGAAAAAAAAATCGAAACTTTGAAATCGAAATGTGTAAAAACAAACCGAAAGAAACGCATAAACCCAGAAATTAGAGTACCATTTTCACCGAAGCATTCATTTGCTTGAAGCTGGAGACGAGTTATGTGACTCAACAGCAAATCCAGTGAATAGATTCCTTAGAAGAAAAAAAATCTCAGAGAAGAGAATGTATCTTATAGAGAAAGCTTAAACCTTTGAGCAAATTCGGAAAAGAAATTGCTGGTGAAGAAACCATAAAATCTTCCTC